CCCGCCAGTACAGTGCGGCGGATACAGTCAAAAGCGCAGAGACACCTTGGAGGACACTTTTCGCGCCGCGCAGCTGGATCGGATGTTTACGCCTGACTTTTATCGTTACGATATTCTTTTGTGTTAATTACCGTCGGTTTATTTGATCAACTAGGCACCGAGCTATTAGCGAGCGGCGCTCGCGCGCGCGCGCGCGCGCACGCACACACGCGGTGCAGTGAAAAGGATGCAGAGGAGCATCTGTGGTCTTCTGGGCAAAGCTGTTCATTATCTGGAGATAAACAACTCAGCTCCTTAGTCCTACCTGTGCCCTTGATGAAAGCGACGCAACATCGTCAACGACGTACTTCCGTCGGCTCGCATACTTTCCTTCCGAAGGTTTCGGGGGCAAAAGTCAAACGGCGAATTGGCCGACCTCTCGTCGGGGGAGTCCACGTGGAAGGTCCTCTCGATGACGGTGGTCCACTGGAGGCAGCGTATGATGAAGGTGTTGGGCTTGGGCCTCTCCGTCTTCATCAGCTGGCATTCTGCGGGCGAGACGCGAGGCTTGCTGAGCAAAATGCACGGCGAGTGGAAAGACAAATTCAAATATGCGGGGGTCTCAAGCGAGGCGAGGGGACTCGGAGATACGCGCGGGTCGGCAACCGTGACCCGCAAGCGTGCCGAGTGCCGCCGCCGTGAGTGAAAACGCTTTGACCGGAGGGCCTTTGCTTTTGCGAGCGCAGCGCCGCGTTCCCTCGCAATATTGCCGTTCGTTCTCCTCACTTAAGCCACCGTTCCGGGAGGGATTTTTCAACGCGTGCCTCAACTTTACATCGTGACGAGAGCGCGGCAAAAAGACCCCCTTTTCGGCCCTTTACCGGACTGGCGGATGTTAAAGCGCGTACGTCAGTTGAGTCGAAAGCACGCGAGGGCAGGCGAACCATTTGGGACGACGCCTTTTCATTTGATTCACACGGGCGCTACGGCTTTTCGCCGATGCGGCCGGAGGCGGGGATGGAACGCGTTCGTTTCGCACTTTTCAGACCCGGGTCAAAAATAGGTCATTTCGCTCGGAAATGTGGAACGAAACCGTCAAGTTACACTTGATGATGCCCGACGCTCTCTGAGGAAAAGCCGGAGCGGGCCAACCAACGTGCGCGGCGCATAGACGAGACAGACACGCGCAGGCAGAAGAAGTGACAGCGACTGTGAAAAACGCCGTGCGCGGAACACGCCGACTTTTAGGCAAGCGCGTTCCATGAGCGCAGATGCAGCCGGTCTTTGAATCGCTCGGAAAGAAAAAACAAAAAAAGGTAATAACGTCCACCGCCGAGGATTCCAAACGCAGCCGCTTCGCCGTGCCAAAGGATAATATGTGCTGCGGCACATGCGCATCTGGTGAATTTCTGAAGAATCGCACGGCGGGCGGAAAAAAACCAACAAAAATGGGCAGCGCATTAGGCCATTTGTACACAAAGGCAGAAGCGTGCGCGCACACGGCCAGATGGGGCGGTGAGCTGGCTGCGGGCACGGAGAAGGCCTCCGTTGCGACGTCCTCAGCCGGCCCCCTTTGGGTTCCGGGGAGGCGCGGCGCGGCGCGGCGCTGGCCTAAATTTAGACGAGAAGGTTAATAGCGAGGCCGCACGGGTCCAGCACACACCTGACCTGCCGCGCTGCCAGAAAACAAGGTCAGCGGGCGCCCCGTGCCAAAAAGCGCTCCCACCGACACGCGGACGCTGCGAGTCGAAATTGGCTTTGCCACCGCGGGCGCGAGTACTTTTGTGGGCGGATGCCTAGATGTGCGCGTGCGCGTCACTCGGCGGGGAATCGGCCTGTACCGTCTCAGCTCCATCTGACCACTTCTGTCGCTCGCTCGCACGCCGATAAACAAACGCGGGCCCGCCCGCACGTACGCACACACGCGCCACCTGGCCTCACAGCTTTGGGCAACAGATGTGGCGGTGCCGGCGCGGCGCCAAGCAGCCGGGGCCGGATGTACGGCCCGGCTTGTCCTCGGCACCGACTCCTTTTCCCTCCTCCTCCTCCGCCTTCCCCTTTTCCCGTCTCCTCCTCCTCCTCCTCGCGCTCTGTACGGGATGCGTCCGCTTCCTGGACGTCCCTCCATCGGCTCATCCGTTCGCACTCGGCCCTCGCGCCTTTTTTTCATGAAAAACTGAGCAGCACTTTACAGTCGGGGGACACAATTGCATCGAGCACCCGGAACAATTGCGGGGGGGGGCCTTCATTTTTTTTATATATAGCCCAGCACGACTCTTCTTTTCATCTGCCAACTGACGACCAATAAAATCCTGTCGACCGTCTCCTATGGGCCCAGCTCAACCATGCCGTCGTGCGGCACGGAAGGGAAGGCTCATTTGATTTTTGAACAAAGATGTGATGGTGCTCATCCCAAATCAGCCATCGAGATGATTCTTAGGGGCCGTCCCAGCAGAAAAGCGCCTTTCCCACCCAAGGGGATGACAATCACGTACTTGCGACGGAGAAGTTGTTGAGCGGGTAGGGCAGGTCGGCGTCCTGAGGTTTCTCCTTGTAGCCGATGAAGGAGCCGTCCGTCTTGAGCAGGAAGTAACGCGGCCGCCAGTTCTTGATGTATTCACCTGCGGGCACGGAAGAGGGGCACGCTGTTATTCAGATGAATCGGAATCAGCCGGCCCAAAGACGACAGCGCGCAGTCTCGGGTGACTTGGCACCCGCCCGGCAGATTCCCCTGGGATTCTGGGGCAAAATATGACAAAAACATGTTGACTCGCGCTCGACTCAAGGCCACCGTGCCAGCGGCGTCACCCGGCCGGCGCGCACGGGCAGGTGTTGAGGTCGCCGCCCTGCTCAGAGTCACACACGCGCACCCGGACAGCAACACGTCCAGTGAAAACAGGACGAGGCGCGGAACGGCCCGTCGCGGACCGCGGCAACAAATAACATCTGCCGCGCAGTTGGCGGCGGAGCTTTAGCCAACTGGCGGGCACGGGCTGGCACCGCCGCTCCCCCCCAACGACCTGCCGCCGGATTACACAAGAGTCAAAAGGTTTTCACAACAGCGAGGCGGGTCAGACCTCGCGTTCACAGCACAGACGCACCTGGGTGGGGTGTCGCGATGTGGAGCAAATCTGGAGATTCAAATCACGCCTCGCCAAATTAAAGGCGCCAGAGTGCAGTCGTTTGGTTTCGCTTTTTGTCTCGGCGGGCCACGGCGCCAAGATTAGCATTCACAGCTCGCAAACCGCCGTCCGGCTCGTCTGCAGCGCGCTCGGCTTCGGACGACGGCCTTCACGCCGCACCTAACTCGCGTCGCGGAGTTCAGTTGCTCGGTGCGCGACGAGAATCGGGCGGGCGGCATTCACACCTGACAAAACAAAGCGCGCCAGAGTCCGGTTGCTTGAACGAGGCCGGGGTCGGGGTGCCGAGGTCGGCGCCTGACCAAACGAGGCGCATCAGAGTTCCGCGGTGCGCTCCGCATGAAGGCCATCGCACGCCAACGAGCGAACCGCGGCGAGGTGGAGACGAATCGCGTTGGCAACCTTCAACGCTCGCTCGCGGATCGCTCGGCCATCTCAAAGGAAGCTCTGCGCAGAGTTCACTTGTTTGGGCTGTG